TTAATAAAAATATCATGTAATATGTGTTTTGAATTTGTCTCTGCCCTCTAAAGCTATGAATAAAAAAAATGTATGTTCCTATTTAAAAAATCCAAGGTGACCTTGACTTTGCGAAGAGAACAAACTGTTTTCAAAATTTGCTTTACTAATATCTATTGTGCATTTCATACCCTGCAAATATTGTTCTAAACTTTTTTTCGTAAGGTGACTGTAAGTGGATAAAAAATCGTGAGTAGCGTTACAGGTAACACCCTAATTCTACTATAATATATGTGTATGTCACAATGTACATGTCTATAACAACATTACTGACATCTATACTACACCTATTATAGTCACCTCCACAATATAACGAAATCGTAAATTAAAGCCTTATCTTGCGACATACGATGTCGAAACTTCCAGCATCTCTGGATTCTGTTTTAGGATTTCGTTTCGATACATCGTATAAAATATATTGACAATCTACGAAACCTATCCTCGTATTCTGGTTGAACTTACAGGTCCTTATCTCCCTTAAACTGCTGTTTCGAAGCCCGGATTTCGTGTACTTCGACTTCTGAAAAGATTTACGACTGCACTGTATTGTGGTAGAAACTGTAACACTGAGAAGGGGATTAATCGTTGGTGCCCTAAGTGTCGATGATCAGACACGCAATATCGCGTGAAGGGACTGTTAATATTGACGCTTGAGTACATGATATCGCGTGAATGGGCATTTAGTATGAATCAAGCACATTTGATCAAGTTTGATCGAGTTCAACAATTATGTGGATTTATGGCATACCAAAATGACGATTAGTGGTCAAACTCTCTGTAGTACTGCAAATTTTCAAGTTTTGATGTATTCCACTATATTAACTGAAGGTTAAATAATACTCTATACATTTATAAACAAATATTTTTATGTAAGAACTGTAAAAAAGTATGAGAAACGTTTTTTCCTTAATATCCGATTCGCAATGATTTACAATGATTTATAGTGATTTAAATGGTACGTATCGTGCGAGGTATGCAGTAAAATATGAATACAACAGTACATTATAATTCGCTCTTTCCTTCGTAGTTCTTTTTTAGAAATTTCAATGTTAATCAAATTGAACCTTGAAATTTTAAATCAAATTTTAAAGATCGTTTTTTATAGTTAATGTTTTATATCTAAATCAAAAAGAATCTTTGCTACGGACGTCCCAACAATTCTGCAGGTCGGCGGCCATTAATCAATGTCTTAACGAATGAAATTTCAGAAATAACAAGTAACTCTATCATTTATAAACATTCTAACTTTTCAAAAATAGAAAACTAGAAATTATTTTAGCACCTCCCTATGAAACAGATTTTCAAACTTTATCTATTTCTAAATATTTCGAGGTTGTATTTTCTTAATTATATTAACATCGTCCATGAACGAAAGAAATGGCACTCAGCTTTTTAAATAAAAAGCTGTATATTTAATTTCACATGAGAACTTGTGTCGACAAATTCAGTACATTCGTGCCTAAATTAAAGGTCGCCATTTCTCGAAAAATAATACAAATATAAAAAATTGATACAGGTAATATTGCTATTTAAATGTACTCTTTCCTTTCCAACTTTTGTGAAATTTGTACTGTACAAAAATACTGATCCGTATTACCGTGAACACCCTGTATAGATACGTATTTAAATTACTACCTGCAAAGTACAGTGCTTAACCTTTACATCCCAAAACTCAGCAAATCTACACAAAGTAGATTTTATTGTAAATCTAATTTTCTTCGTGTGTTCAAAATATTTAAATTGGTTTTGAGACAATTGAACATTTTTATTAAGGACTTTCCAATGTTCATACAATTTAAATCGATAAAATTCTCAAATGCAGAGAATTACCGAGTGGTTACTGTAATACAGTGTGCGTCACACAAGATATAATTGCGGAACATGGAAGGTTTATGCTGTTCTAGTCTTTGTAGTTACACAAGTTTATTAGTAGCTGTTTCAGTAAATAACGAGCCATATCTCTGCAATTATGTTAGAGAAAGTTGTTATACAAGCATTGCACTCTTTTATTATACAACCACATTTCTTGAAGACATCTATAAAAAAATAAACATTTCTTCAACTAATTTTGTGTATCGAGCATGTTCTCTTTTGATGGATATAAATATCAGAAGCTATTTGGAGTTACGCTGTTGCTTCAAAGATCTATACTACTGTTACACAAGAGTAACAGAATGTTTCTGTACCATTGGGAAACAAGAAAAGCTCTCATTCATCGCTCCAGCCTCTACAGTCATACTAGTTTATTGCTAGATATGACTGTTGCGACAAACAGAAATACATCAGCCATATTAAGGCCCTAATACAACCAAGTCGTTTGTCCCAAGTGACTTCTTTCTTCACGGTGTTTGGTCCAATGATCATAGCAGTCAAGGCCCTTATAAAATCAATCAATCAATTCTCCACAATGTGCTGGACTTGCTATGTACGCTCTAAAGTGTAAAATAAGTAATATAACATCTAAATTAACTCTTATGCAAATGCAAAAATTGTGTTCAATACTTTGCCCTGAAATGTGGAAGAGTTGTTAATAATTCAAATGTGCCGCATTGAAATACATAATAATCATTGATAAGCCTGTTAATTTTAACAATGACATGTACAACATAAGTTGTGTTAACTAATAGAACTAAAAAATACTACTAGTTCGAGTAGAAAACGATACGGAAAGCAGTCATCCGATTATAAATGTGTGCCGCATGTATCTGATTGAAATACATAATAATCATTGATAGTCCTGTTAATTTTAACGATAATGTACGACGTAATTTGTGTTAACTAATAGAACTAAAAAATACTTTGAGTAGAAAACGATATGGAAAGCAGTCATCCGATTATACTTGACGATGCGTGCGCGTCATCGTCAGTATGGCGTTTCCCTTGTGGCTACCTTGAACTTCCGCCCTGCCCCACGAACCACTCAAACCTCCTCTTGCCGCTCGGTATAGCAGAGTGGTACCGTTTTACCGCGGTTTTTGCTGACAGTGATGCGGTACCACCCGGTACAAGCTGCTTCTGGATGTCGCCCCGCCTACCGACACCATCGCAGTCACGCACGCGCGATCTGCGCATGCGCGCCGAACAAGAGGCAACATGACGCGTATCCAAATTACCTTCCGCCATCTTTCCATGAGCCAGAATCAGTGGTACAACTCAACGGCTCTCTCTTTCTCTCGTTCGTTCGCCTGTACCGTGGGAAATGTGCCAGGGCAGCTACCAAAATGGCGGGTCACCAACTTTGACCGGCTATCGAAATTTAAAACGAATTTTTATAACAAAATGACGCTGCTTTGTTTAAGCTTGCACTTCCGCTCGCTATCCGATGATACTTCACGCTGACTGCGTCGTACGAAAAATTGCCAATCAATCGTGACGTTCGTGTGGTTATGCGTGAACTGGAAATGGTACAAAGTAAACAAGAAATTTCAATCTTTTGAAATCGTTTCATTTTCAAAATGATAAATTAGTTTTATGTAAATAACAGAGTACCATGATATTTATCGAAACGCGGGGTCACTGTTAGTGTCGGGCAAACGGCCACTTGTCACGTATTTACGCTTTCAAATTTTCAAATCTTTTTACTTACAAACTTCTCAGTATGAATTATCAAATTTAGAAATTAATGAATTTTCAACTTGATTAATTCAGAAACTTCTGAATCAAATATTTCCATATTTAGAAACTTTTTTTTTAAGATATAGAAACTTTTATTTTTAAATTGAAAGGTTTATGAGTTCAGAAAATTTAAAATCAGAGAGTTTAGAAATGTAGGAATTTGTATATTAAAGAACGTAGGTCTTTAAAAATTAAATATGCTCAAATGTATAATTTGCAATTTGTCAAAAATTGCATGTTGCTTCTGCGTTGGCAATTGCTACAGTCTTGTAGCAATGAAACTCATCAGTGGACATTACCAATTTACACAGCGCTAGCAGTATTGAAAATGTAGTGAATTTTTGCTTCGAATTTTACAAACTGTAGCGACTCACCATTGAAAAATATTCGTCGTATAATCAACTTTTATTCGATTTTAATGATCGGAATATTTAACGTATTTTATGTGGTATTGAAACCGATTTAAATTATTGCATTTGCATACTTTTGTTAAGCAAATAAGAGCTTGTGAAATATTTGGAACAACAATTAAAATTTTATAGAAAATTGTTATCATACAATATAATTATTCTAATAAAAGATAAAAGAACATAATTTGTAAACTGTATATATATTATTGATTATAACATAATAGTTTGATTAATATTAAACAATAAAAAAATATGCAATAAAAAAAGCAAATCAGATTTAATTCTATGCAATATAAAAATGTAAATCTGCCGAAACCCGGGATCGAACCAGGGACCGTTAGATCTTCAGTCTAACGCTCTCCCAACTGAGCTATTTCGGCACATACCGGAAGATTTTCATACAATGGTAATTCCATAATTTAAAGTTATTGCTGTATTAATTAAAATAAAATTAACAATGATATCGCTTAATAAATGCAAATCATGAATATACAGAATTTTATGTTTGTAGTGACGCATATATATATGTAAGTTAATCTTCCGTTAAAATGCATTATACCGTTGAAATAATTTGGATGTAATGCACGTATGAAGTGACCTCAGTAGTAATACAGCTATTGTTTCTCTACGTTTATTATATTTATTTACTGAGTTAATAAGTATTTGTTTGTTCAGTTTTTGTTATTGAAGCTGTAATTGAGATTCATTGTTATAAGTAAGTTCGTTTTAATTATAGTTTGTTATTCAATAAAATTATTAAACATATTGCACAAATTGTACATGTGTGATATCTTTCTGTGTTAAATATGTAGTGGTATAGAACTAAGAAATTTGATAGTATTGAGCAATATTCGAACCATATTTAATGGTTAGGAAACTATAAAATTATTTAGGAGACATATTATAATATCAGTATGTCATTAAAATTGGTTACAGTAAAGTACAACATGCAGCGTGCTATGCTAAGATGGAATAGTGTACCTACTCAAGTTATTACAGAGGGTCGCTGGGTAGAAGAAGGTATTTCACAAATTGGGAAAAAAGATGTAGTAGTTGTAATTCCGGGAAACCCTGGTATACCAGAATTTTATGAAGGATTTATAAGAAATTTAAAATTAAGACTCCCAACTGAAGTACCAGTTTGGGTAGTTGGACACGCAGGACATGTACATCCACCAGACAATCTAAGCGTTACAATGCCAAGTACATCAGCTTGGCATACGCATTATGGTTTAATGGCACAGATAGAACATAAGGTTTTTCTTATTTCTTAAATATTAATTTTCTCATTATAATTATAATTCTTATTATAATAATTCATATAATTTCATTGCAGAAAGAGTTTATAAAAAAATACGTTCCAAAAGATGCAAAGTTACATCTTGTTGGACACTCAATAGGATGTTGGATAATTTTAAATATGTTGAAAGACGAATTGATAGCTGAGCAGGTAGTGAAATGTTACATGTTATTTCCAACTATCGAGCACATGGCCAAAACTCGAAATGGACAGTATTATACTAGCTTTGTAAGTTTTATCAACACTAACCCATTATGGTAGCATAAAATATCAATTACAAGAATGTATTTTCTTTTCAGATGATGAAGATTCAATTTATTTTATTATTTCTTGGTTGGTTGTTAATCTGTCTCCCAATTTTTTTACAAGGTTTCATAATTAATCTGATAAGATTATTTTATGGAATTCCAAAAAGACATAACAAAGCCCTTGGCCTCTTTTGTGATTCTCGTAATTTGAGAAATGTATTTAAAATGGCAAACGAAGAAATGGAAATTGTAAAGGAACGAGATGATGATATAATTGCTAAGTACAATGATAAATTATGGTTCTATTATGGTAATCGTGATGGTTGGGCTCCAGTCACATATTATAATGATTTGAAATCTGCGCATCCTAATATCAATGCGACTCTCTGTAAGCATGGTTATCCTCATACTTTTGTTTTAAAATATGAAAAGGAGGTTGGTCAAATTGTTGGAGATATAATTAATGAAAACATATTATAACGATAGATTATGACTAATTTCTAATTTTTCATATTTTATTAACATTCTGTCATTTACTGTAATGCTTATTATTAATCCTTAATAATTAACATTACTTACAACACCTTTATATAAACAACATGAGTGTAAAAAGAAATATGCAATATTATGCTAATAAATTATGGTAGTTGCATAATAGTATTTAAATTATCTCTATTGTGAAATTTGTAATATAGGTATAAAAAATTACATAAGTTGCACGCACTGCAATTATTAATTGTTTATTGTCTTTACTACTGTATTCAATAAATTGTTAAATATTCAACTTAATTTAGAATTTTTTTGTTACATCAAAATTATACTAGCATAGTTTGTTTAAGTAAATCGATAGAAATAAAAATATTAAACATCATCTTTGTAATTTTCGCAATTTAACGCAATTATAAGAAACCCAAAAGTCAAATTATAAAAATTCTTAAATATACAGATATACAAATTTATGAGTTTACCAACTTACCAAACCAATTTACGAATTTGTTAAATATAATCAAACTTTGTTAAATATTTTACGAGTTCATAAATTACAAAATTTGTTAAGAATTTATTGCAGATAAGTGCATGTTATACTTTTATCAAATTATTATATTTAGTATCTTTTACTATTGTACTAAATTTGACCCAAGTCCATGTCCCGAAGATTGAACATTTCCCTCTGTAAACCTGATTAGTTTTAAATTAACCGCCAAAATTAGAATGAAGCATTCGGGCTTCTTCGGTAATAATCGACAACGTAAACGACAAGAATGACATCTTTTGAGTCATACTAATACTTGCCATTTTAGTCTTCAACTTGCAGCTTTCGGGCTCTGTGAAGGTGTTTGAATAACCGAATTGCTTAGAAACTACATAGTTGTTATTTATATGAACATTTGTTTGATATTCTAATACTCAATATTTCTGAGATTTCTGCTTTGTTATTTCAAAGTCTTCCAAAATGTTGCGTGCTACCACCTTGCTGTCGCTTCTTTGCTTGAATGTGGGGTTATCCTACGGTAAGTGACCACTAATTGTAATTCAATAAATCTCACATTATAATAATAATCAGCATCTGACACAAATATTGATCGCTTGGTTGTAGTCGTTAATTACGAATGAATTGCATTTAATTCCACTTTATTCATCGCCGTTGTTCGCATACACAACAATTTTTGCAATTTGCATTATACTTGCGAACAATAAGTAGTTATAAACTAGTAACAATACTCCTGAAATTTCCGGCTGTTTTCGAGCATTCATTACTTACATACGTCATTGGTTTTCACACGTTTATGGTGTATATAAACAAGTTAGGATTATGTTTACTCGATTCCCTCGTGCTTACCTTTCACAGAGATCATTATAAACATCATGCGTCAGCGGTACTTAGATTTTAGTAATTAATCTTTTTGAGTGCAGAATATATAGGGAAGAATAAATTAATTATAAAATTGATTTTTTCGTTTTATTGTCAGTGTTTGATATTTCGAGAACGCTTTTCTTAAGCATATAACGACAATGTGCAAAAACAACAAAGACGCAGACATTTGAAACAAAGTACATTTATAATTCCATTCTAAAACTTCGTTCTCAGAAACAATTGCTTACAACAATTCTCTTCAAATTTAACGTTGTTAAATGATACACCAACACGAAGTTTTAACATGGCGGATTTTTAATCCGGTTCGGAATTTCTTTTTTATTGTACAAAGGATTCGAATTTTATATTCGAAATATATTATTTAATTCAAAGAACTGTTTTCTTTAGAAATTAACTTATTAAAGGTCCCATTAAAAACAGCATTTGTTTATAAATATCCGGTAATTGTTTTATGGTCACATAAAACCTGTTTCGTCAAAAACGGATACCGTAAATTGCTGCAATAAAAAGCACCTTTGTTGCAAACTTATGCGTAACTAAATTATCTTTCGTGTAATAAAGTGAATCAGTGCAGATAAAGATAAGATTAAAAATAGTACAAAAGTATTATAATAATGCTCATACTATAAACAAAATTTAAAGTTTAAATTTATTTAAAGACTGTTCGTTTTTTAAGTAACACAACATGAAAGCCATATAGTGAGAGTGCACCATCTATGTGGATATTTATAATCTATCTATAATCATTATTTTTGCCGAAAGCGTTAGCTATAAATTCTTCGAACATGAAGAGTATCAGTAACGTCGATTGTTTTCGCCGAACGCATATCTGAATTTATCAACTATAGTGATGATTTACGTATCATTTGAGTGCATACGTATACAGAGTGGTCATAGATTACTAAGCAACGTTTCTCTCATAAATTGAATGCATATACAAAAAGTGAAAGCTATTTTTAGAATCAACATTCAGTTTATTTTTCAGTTTATGTTAATATTTAATTTACTATTCTGCACACATTGTATTGTAATATTATCTACGCATCAGTGAAATTATAAATAAATTAATTATTAATATTAATAGTACATATAAATTAAATTTGCAATATTTTTTTAAAAAATGATGGCGACGTTCATTTTTTTAAATTGAATTGTACATTCTTTCTCGTGGATCAATTTTTCGAAATAGTCTAAAAATATAATCACTGTATAAAAAAATGAATCATTCCTCAGATATTTTAAATACGTTCTGATAAAATTCTTTTGTTTTAAATTTAACATGTCTTCAGTTGATTGATTTTTCTTTTAGAATTAATAATACTCTTTCGCATAAAATATTTCTGCGACTCGATTTACATCAAGGAAAATACGTAAATGTCTTTCGAAGGAAATATCGCGATTATAAGAAATGTGCATATGCTATTTCGTTGGTTATAAATAAGAGTAAGAGTTTTCTATCATGCTTTTCCTTGTATTAGGTTGGGGAATAAGGTCGTAGCGTTTTGATATTTTCTTTTTTTTACAGCGACATTTTGCAATTTGCAAGGGGTTATAATATTCATTCGATAGAGCTCTTTCTGCTCTACAAAACTGTCTTAATCGTTTTTTTCAGTAGTTTCATTCGTTATTACTATTGAGGCTCAGAAATAGAATATCAAGAAGGTAAAAAGCAGCATTTTCGACACCTGCTCTTCTTCGCTTTCCATCGCGGCCAAAAAGCTGCTGAAACAGCCCGGGATATTTGCAATGTATACGGAGAAGATGTCATAGCTGAGTCGACAGCACGGAAATGGTTTGCAAAATTCAAAAATGGCGATTTTAACGTCGGAAACCCGCCCCGCAGCGGAAGACCATCTGAGTTTGACGAAGAGCGTCTCCGAGCACTTGTGAAGCAGGATGGTCCTCAAACTAGTCGTGAATTGGTCGAAAAAATGAACTGTGACCACAAAACTATTCTCGATAATCTCCATTCAATGGGATTTGTCGAAAAATTGGGAGCTTGGGTTTCTCACAAAGTGAACGCTACGAACTTATTGCCCAACCTTAGGTTGAATTTTGCAAACCATTTCCGTGCTGTCGACTCACCTATGACACCTTCTGCGTATACATTGCAAATATCCCGGCCTGTTTCAACAACTTTTCATAAATTTTTGGCCGCGATGGAAAGCGAAGAAGAGCAGGTGTCGAAAATGCTGCTTTTTACCTTCTTGATATTCTATTTCTGAGCCTCAATAGTAATGACGAAAGAATCTACTGAAAAAAACGATTAACACAGTTTTGTAAAGCAGAAAAAGCTCTATCGAATGAATATTATAATCCCTTGCAAATTGCAAAATGTCGCTGTAAAAAAAAAGAAAATGTCAAAACGCTACGAACTTATTCCCCAATCTAATATATGTATATGACCTCACCGTTTAGCGAAAAAGCATTGGTTAGTTGTGTAGTAATATTTTAAACACTGTGTATGAATTAGTTATCCGTGAAGGATTAAACATGAAAAGAATATTTTTTGATTTTTCTATACTTAAGTAGTTGTTTAATATCAATTGATGAAGATTATTTAATAGTATTTGATAAAATACATATTTAACACTAAAACTACCAAAACCGGTCAAATGACCGCTCCACAAGTTTCTTATTATAAGGTACACATTTTGTTAAAATATATTCCTTGAAATCAGAATTGATTTTCATCAAGATAAAGAATAAATGTGTGTACTAATTTATGTTTCGTCGTTTGTTTATTTATTTTTTAACTTAATTTTTAATTTCAATTTAAATACACATTATATGTTGGTAGGTTTGATGTTAAACAATTAATTGTTGAAATGTATTTTCAGAAATGCTAGATAGTCAAAGGACATTAAAGAGTATTTATTAGAATATCAAGATTTTGATCCACTGCACTCAATTATAGATTTGATATTTTTTCTATTTTATATTTCTCTTATTTTTAACTCTTCTAATAATAAAAAAAGAATACTTTATTTAAATATTTTTTAAAAATCGTATTAATTGATTTGGAATGTATTAGTGGGGAAAACATTTCATAAATAAATTATTTATTTAATCTCATATTTATATAGAATAAAGTATATAAGATTGGAAGATATGAATTATGTGAAAATATGATGTAATGTGTAAATAAAGGCGTGCGAGAGAAAGTGGAAGTATAAACATTGGCGTAACTACAGTAGGCACCAAAGAAAACCTGCGAAAAACAGAGGAAAAAAATGTCATATATTTCATATTAGAAGTTTAGAAATTTTTAGTTACAAACTTTTAAGTTTGAAAATTTCTTTAATTTTCAAATTTACAGAAATTAGAATTTTGAATCTCCAAATTTCTGAAGTTATAAATTTAATAATTTTCAAATTTCCATGTTTCTAGTTTCCATATCATTAAATTTCTATATTTTTAATTTTTCAAATCTCCAGCTTCTAAATTATTAAATTTATAAAATCTCAAATTTACAAATAACCAGTTTCCAAATTATCAAATTTACAAATCTCCACTTCCCAAATTATTAAATTTATAAATTTCTAGTGTCCATAATTATCAAATTTATAAATTCTCAAATCCCTAAATTTCCAGTTCTCAAATCCCTAAATTTCCAGTTCTCAAATTACCAACTTTATAAATTTCCAAATCCCCAATTTCTAAATTTCTATTTTTCAAATTTCCAAATTTCCAAATTTTTGAGTTCTAAATTTCCAAATTTTTTAATTTCAAAAAGTCTCCATTGAATACCTACTTTAGAAATTTTACGTTATTAATATACCTAGGCTCTAAATTCTAGAATCTCTAGCACACAGCAAACAAAAATCCTAGTTACGCCAATGAGTTACGAACGAAAACAAAGAATTAATATAAAGTTCTTTTCTCTTCTACTAAGTCTGAAAATATTAATAAACCATTTACTTATTATCAACAGTTTTTATATTCCCCACATTTCTTTTTTAAACTGATCTCGTACGTTCCACTTATTAAATCTACCAGCGTATAAAGCACATATAACCTAACATTACAAATAGTACAAAAAAATCAATAAACAAACGATAAACCTTAATGTACACACTAATTATATTGATAGAAGTCGGCAGAGGTTTCAGAAAAAGCATTTGAATAAATGTTGTGATTTAACACTAAATAACTGATTTGAGATTTCATATAATTTTATTAATTAATAATAATTTTATTGTTTTTGTGAAATCAAGGATTTTCTGTCACATTTTGTAGGGATAGAAAATGATTTTACATTTTAGTCGATGCTACAATATTTACTCACTCACTTTTCCACTTCATTTTCAACTTAACCAGTTAACTGTGGCGATCCATTTGCAAAGAACGCACCAGTGTGTCGCGATAATCAAGCGATGACGAGTTAGCTCTCAAGATTTTATGTAACCATCTCAAATCATTTACACTTTTTATTTGTTTATTTGATTTTGTGTTGACCTCTAAACATTTTAAACATATTACAATTTACGAATATAATTTAGTTTTCGCCAAAATTACAATTTGAATATCAAATTGTAAAAAAAATTTACAGCATGACGGATATAGACGTCATGACACAAAATTCTTCCACATTTCCATGACGGGTATAGTCGTCAAACACACATAACTGGTTAAGAGTGCGCATTTAATGGCGGTAGTGGAAAACTTGTGAAAAAGGAAAACTTGCGTATAGGTCAAACGACGTTTTGTAGTTTTAGCGTTAAAATTCTTATGTAAATTATATTTCTTTCAACTGTAACGTAACACGAAACTTCCGTTCAGTTTATCTAACAATGACGCTGCGAGTTCAACGTCGTTCAAGTATAGAAGCGGAAACTGACGCCTATCTGGGACCACTGTTGCGTCTGTACAATTACGCTTGAACTGCAAAATAGGCACGTACTTAAGTACTCAATTGAATTTTCTTATCGATTCCATTTCTGAATCGTGATTCAATCGAGTGTATAGATTGCGAGTTCGAAATATTTTACGTCGCTTCAGAATAAAACAAAAAGTGTAAGAATCCTGTCAATTTAAGGAGGTTATGTATGATAACTACTTGTACTATAAAGTAACTGATTTGAAAAACTTCCTATAAATGATATTTTCTGTTAAACAAAATTAACGTTAAAATGTAACAGAAATAATAGATATTTGTATGTTAATGTTTTAGAGAAAATAAATGTTTCTATTGCTGAATATGTAAAAATATGATCTTTTAAAATTAATTATTTTTTATTATACAATTAGTATAATAAAATATACATATTAATATACAATAATATTTACTAATATACAAAGATGTTTTATTTTTTTAAATTTTGCTCAAAAATTTTCAAATGTAACTGAGTGAATATGAAATAATTATTAATGGAAATTTTATTTGGTTTGATGCCTCTTTTATTGGCCATTAAGATTCGTTAATTGTATAACTAAAAATGTATGATTTTAATTATTCTAATGTTGGATATATAAAAACATAATTGCATATAAAGAGTTTTGTAAATTCATGTATTTTAAATGGATAAGATAGAATGAATAAAATATAAGATTAGTATGGTTCTTTGCTGTGGTAGCTAAGAACAGACATAGGATCGCAAAGGGCTAATATATTCAAAGTATAATTCAATTCACAAAGTATGAAATATCATTTTCAGTATTGCATTAATTTTTTACTGCATTACAGAAGATAATTTAAAATATTTTTTTTTTCTGAAAAAAAAAAACTAGAATGTACTTAGGGATATTTTAACGTAACTGTACTATGGAATGTTGTAAATATTAAAGTACAGTTCGGTTACTATAATATTGGTTAAAACAATCAATAATCTCTTAAATTATTTATTAACTTCTGTGTGTTATATTTTGAAATGTGCAAATCTAGGAATGTAGAGAAATAGAGATGTGGCGAATTAGAAGTTTTAAAAATCTAGAAATTTGGAGATCTAGGGATTTTGAAGACCTAAAAATCTGAGAACGTTGAAATTTAGGGAATTCAGGATTTGTAGACTTATGGATATAGGAGTATAGTAATTTAACAGCTTAGAAATTTGGAAATTTAGAGATTTTGAGCCCTACAAATTGGAATTTAGGGATTTGTTAACCCATAAATTTTGAAACTTAGAGATCTCAGGATGAAGAAATCCAAGAGTTTAGATATTTAAAAATCTAGGAATTTTGGGATTTTAAAGTTCGGAAAATTTGAGAAATTTGGAATTTTAAAATATGCGGATTAGAATTTTGAAAACTAGAAAATTTGGAAATATAAAAGTTTAGTCATTTAGAAATTTGGAATTTAGAAAATTAGAAATTTAGAAATTGAATGTTTGAAAATTTGAAAGTTTATGAAGTTGCGAAATTGAAAATTTTTAAAGTTAAAAATTAAAAAATTGTAAAATTTATACATCCACAATTATCCAAAAAAATCGCAAGTTGCACATAAATGTCATACAAGACACTTGTGGATATAAAAAAAATTAGTTGAAAATTGTTGACTTTCAAAAATTGTTTAAAAATATACTATATGTACTAGTACAGTTTTAAGATGAGACACTTTCACCTAACTTCGTAATTCTTTCAAATTTTAATTATAATTAGACTGCAGATATTTATGCTTTTATGACACATAAAATTCTGAAGAGCAAACCATGAGTTGTGTTATATGATATAATTGTAGATATATTAGTAAACTCGGACATATCATAAGTGCATAAACATCAGTAATCTAGTCATATTCTTATAAAAATGAAAGAACGCCTTTAGACACAATGCCTCTATCTACTACACAATTCTGCCTCATTTAAACAATACTTCACAAAAGATCTTTTTCCGGATCCTTCACTTTATAAATTTAGCGAAAGCCGTAAAACTGCTGAGACATTGTTCAAGATATTATTTAGCTCACCATTGAATTACTTGAATGGTTATATGGTATATATTTCTGTTCCCAAACCTTGGGTACCTGCACCATAAGCCATAGGATATTAGACTCTGCCTTGGTGATTAAGGGAAAGAATACTTGCTGAAATACAATTTTGGCGAAGTAGATTCTTAGAATTCTCAGGTAATAAATGCAAGGCACCTTTGAGTCCCTATTGCTCGGACTGATGGTGCATCCTTCCAAGAAGGCAGGTCATTTTTCAATCTTCTAACGGTATCGTGATATTCTACAGTACAGAACTTCGGTTTTATACATAAAGTGTTTTAGATCTGGTGGTATAGTACAGCTTCGAAATACGTAAATCTCTAGAACTGTTACATATATCATGTAGTTATAGCATTGATTGTAGCTTTTGAACGCAAAAAAGAACAGCTAGCGACCGAACGGCCGAATGTAAACAAACAGTAACATATCGGTGAAACAATGCAATGCAAGAATATAACTTTCTCAATTATTTCTTTTTATGAAACTTTTATCAACATATTTGTAACATTTTTCTGATTAAAATGAACACGACATAATTCGGAACATATTGTAATTTTAAACGTTTTGATTATATGGAGTATTTTAGCGTAGTAAGATTCGCGGTAAACGAATAAGCAGTGACACATCGGGTAGCTTCGTTTCTCTTCGGTGCTATTCGGATAATCACGTGATCATCTGACAGTCGAAATCTTAAGACTTCTATGGCCGAAATGTTTAAATGCGCTCGAAAAGGATGGAAGAGGATTACAGTAAAATCTCGGTAGAAGCAAATCTTTTGGGACTGAACTATTGCTTATATTGTATAGTTTCTACATTGACCGAAGTTTGTACATAAAGAACATAAAGAGTTGTACATATTTGAACATAAAAAAAGCAAGACAAGAAGACGGACCGAACGTAACAAACAGTAAAACATTGATGGGACAATACTAGTGCAAGAATAAAAATTTCATTTACCATTTTTCTCTTAATTGTGTTCATAATTGATAAAGTTGTGCGGAAAATAGCATACTCTATACGAACACATTGATTCTTATATTCGTTCAAAAAAAAGAAATAAAAATCAATGTCATTTTTAACACAATACTTACATTGAATTCAGCGGTACTCACGGTTTACCTTGACCTACCAATATGTCTGCGAACCTTGACTACCTTTCATACAGCACCTTGTACTGGACCATTCACTGATAATTTATGTCCTAACAGTCTGTACCAACATCTGATTTAGCGATATAAAAATGTCAGTGGAGATCAAGCAGTCTTAACATTATTATTATTGACAGTTCAAGGTCATTTTGTTTGAACGCATTTCATCAATCATCCTACCGTAAAGGTTACTTCGATAAGGAAATATATATATGTATATTTAAATGTGTGTACTTCTTTTAAATATTTACAATTAAAAAATTGCCATTGGAATTGGTGTTTCTCAACTGTTCTTATTATGGATTATTCGGTTTCTAAATTTTCAGTTTTACATATATCTAAATTTCTAAATCCTGAAATTTACAATTCTTGAGATTTTCTAATTCTCAAACTAAAATTTTCAATGTACAGCTTTCAAACCCACAGGTTCTGAAACTTCCATATTTGGAATTTATAGATTTTTAAATATTTCAATTTTTTAATTTTTTCATTCCCAAGTTCCTAATATCCTGATTGTAACAATTTTAAATTACGGTGCCTCTAATTTTTTAATTATAACATTTATAAATTCTTAAATCTCAAAGTTCCTATTTTTAGATTACCAAATTTTTCAACTCCTTTCCAGAGTTTCAGTTTTTCAAATGTTTAAATTACTAAACTTTTTGATTCTCAAATTTCAAATTTCCGAATTTGCAAATCCGGAAATTCAGTTTTCAAAAATTCCAATTCAATAATTTTTGAATTCTTAAATTCTCAGATTCTCAAATTTTCAAGTTCTCAATCACACGAATTTCCTAATTATAAATTTTTAAAATTTTTAATCCTCAATTTTCTTAAGTTTATAAATTTTTAAATTTCGAACTTTCAATACCTCAAATTTTCTAATTCCAATTTTACTGTAATCTTAAATTTGGAAGACTTGAAATCTATAAAGTGTCCCAGTTTTCTATCCATAAACTTTACCAAAATATTTCACATGTAAAAAATATATATTATATTAACATAATGTGTAAGCACGTTATTAGAAATTTTTAACAATAGTACAAAATGTTCTTGCACTGCATTATTTTCAATAAGTCAATAAACATTGACTGATGAATAATTACAGGAAGATTGTATAGAATATAAGAAATAATAATAGACAATTTTTTCCTTTGATACTACATACCAATAATTGTCGATTTTTATATTTTTTTTAATAATTTTTAATAATGCATTCAAGAGTCTATGCTCACACAAACATTTTCCATATTTTTATTTGTAGGATATGCTAGTTAAGATATGTGGACAAAACTGAAACACCTTGTATATTTCATCGAACAATTCATTGTCATATTTGTGTTATATCTTTTAAATCAAGCATTTGAAAACTTATGTTGATTTAACATAAAATCAACATAAGATTCTTTTTTTATTGTTACAAATTGAATATTTTAGTAATATTTGCTAGTGAAAAAACATTTTATGATTTTATCATAAATTGAAAGTAAATCAACGATTTACACACAATGTCATAATTGATTTGTACTTAAACAGTGTTAACGTTTATTAATTCTGCTTCCAGGAATGCAATGTTCGCTCGGACACAAGAATATCATAACGGAAGTGCTCGATTCGTGTCCAGGATTATTAGACTCTTCAGATAAATCTTTTTGCTGCGTGGACATTGAAAATAACCGAATGTACTGTTGCGATCAAACAGAGTTCCTGGTGAAATCAACATGGTAATATATTATTTATTTATGTTAATTAGTCTACGAATTTTCATACGAATATACAGGCGAAACCGTACAATACCTACCACTCTAAATTCTTTTATCGTAATTTAACCCCTTCCTATGCCATTTATTTAACAGATGCGTCAGTTAAGACTATTCAAGGCTATAACATTAAAACGAACAAAGAAAATTAAAAAGTAACTATTTTATATTCAAGGATCCTTGATAATGTAACTTATAGCTGGACCTAAATTTCAAGTTAAAGAGTATTCAAAATTTGAGTAAGGTTTGTCACATTAGAGCTGTAAGTGCGTCACCAGTGAGACTCGACAAAGCACGAGAAGGGGTTAAACTAATCTCGGTAATAATCAAAGTCGTAGAATACCAGCCACTCTAAATTTCGCTATCATTATTAAAACTAATCTCAGTGACAATCAAAGTACATAGTACAATACCGATTACTTTAAATTCTTTTATTATAACTTGAACCAGTCCAGAAAATCAGATTTAAAAAAAGGTAATTTGTTGGTTAAATAAAAGTTGATAAACGAAAGAAAATAGTTCTTTTTTTGACTTTCGTTAAATTTCACCTTCATATATTCTGTAGGAGGCATGGTTGTTGATATTATTTTTGTACAGGATAGCGACCTTGAATGATCGGTTCTGCGTAACAAGTAGCTGAAGTAGAATGCGTATTATGTAGAAAATGAAGAAAGTAGTATGGCTTTTAAAAACTTCCACTTAATTGACTTTGATTTGTACTTTTAAGATCAAATTTTGTTCATTATATTCTGTAGCATTCGTTACTAAAATAAACAGTATAATAAATATTACATATTTAGATGATTCTGAAAAATAATGCTACAACCTCGTCACTGATTTGTTTAGAAAATTTAGTTTTTATGAAGTGTACTTGGGACAATTAAATACAAGTAGTGTAATGTTATTAATATTTATTTTATATAAAAAATATAATTATTTTATAAAGTTTGGCAGCACGAGTACAATCTTATTAATAAAGTTCATTAATAAAAGTAAATGTTAACAGAAATATTTCACTATTACATTCAATGAAATTACATGTATGTGAATGTCAAGTTATCATATTTAGATAGAAATTGAAAATTATAATATAGATTATAAATATATAATAAAGCATGATTGTAATAAAATATTGCAATTATAATAATGTAATTATTTTTATGACATTATACAAAATAGTATTTCATATTGATAAAACTATACTACATTTTAATTTACAAATTGCTAAATTAGATTTCAATAGTGAAATATATAATAAATTCATTTTATACTTTTTATACAAATTCTATTAGGAGAAATTCGTAACATTAGAAACATTTAAATGCGTCTGAATAATGTTTAAATATGCAGACATCAAACCCCACTTTTACAAAGGGAAATGTTGTTCAGAATCACGTCTTCTACCACTTATTTTAGGAAGTTACAATAGTTGTAACTTATATTTTTTTGAATTGAGAAAATAAAATATGTAGTTCTGCAAGGTCTTCGCCAAAATTCGTTAATGTTGCACTACAATATAAATCGAGTTACTGCTGATAGTACCTTGTGTTTTGCAGTACTATTTTATTTTCTGAATAAAAAATAAAGTATTTTGGAGTTTCCTTTGATAGCTTTCTCAAGAAAACCAGCTCTATCACGCCGGTGTAATTGGATTTCTTCTCGAACTCAATTTTTAAAGAAAACTAAAAATCGTCACATGACTGGTGACTCGTTCAGTTTAAACGTAATTAATTGTTGAAATTTCGAAGTGAATCCCACTACTTCCGTTTAATATAATAATTTATTGGCTATTTACACGACATGTCTTTACTACTCATCTTTCAAATCTATTTCTTACCGCCACGTGCCAACCGTCACGAACTGGTAACTGACTCACGCGCCGTAAATTATCGAAGGTTGCCGAATTGTTCCGATTGACTCGGACGCCTATCAGAGACATGCTGTTGTCCTTTTCAACGTTTCTTTTTAATAATATAATAATATTATAAACATATATGTATATCATATTCGCGTGAGCCTGCAGAAACATTTTCTGCAAATAAAATTTTTATAGCCTTTATAGTTAAAACAGGAAAAAATTCTTACAGTTGAAAATTTGATTCTCTTTTCCAAAATTAAATTATACGCATTGTATAGTGTAATTTGATAACCTACTATACGTCACGTATAAAGTATTCGTGCTCCGAAGAAAACGGTATAAAGCTTCTCATCAGTTAATGCATTAAAGTATAATGATTAAACAATGAGTTATGCGATACCTCTGTATAATAACGGCGATCTCGTCTGAGTTATCAGTCAGTTCTCGGATTGCAATCAAGAACGTCGTTCAGCAAGAAATTAACTGTCAGATGTGATGTGTGAAACATGAAAGCAGCTTTGGATTTCAAGTATGAATACTAAATCAAATTTATTTATAAAATATAGTAAGATATTTTGTTTCATTAATTTTCAAATTGATCAGCTGGTTTAATGACAACCAAAATATTCTGAATTCTGGTAAAATAAATATAAATGAGCGCACAAGTATTGTTTTGATTGAACGTTAAGTACCAATTCGAAAGTGAATATATTACTAATAAATATTGAACGCAAAGGGAAAAAGCAGTTAATATTGACACACTGATAAAATAATTTTAAGAAAAAAAAACACGCCGACTTCGAAATGCACTAAAAAGTATAAAATAATTTCTATTTCCTAATGAAGTAATTTCTATTTCATTCAATCATACAATTACGTAACAGATATGAATGAAACCTATTTACTCGTTAGGTAGTATATTAAATACATTTCAACCTTTTCGGAGGCGGCGCAAAATTAAAAATACCTCAGTAAACGTTGCTGCCAATAATCAGTTGATTGTGGTATGGCGTATTGGAAATTAATAAATCCTGAGAAAGAATACGTACCATTATAGATATATCT